TGTTGTTACTCATTTGTTGTAAAACCGCACCAATTGCTACATTCGATGCGTCTACAGCAAGTGATAAATTGCCGTTTTTATCAAAATGAGTAAGTAAAGTTTTCTTTGTAAAAAGTTTCTTTACATTTTCAAAAGCTGTAGTTGTATTTTCTGTCCAATTTAATTGTTTAAGCTTATTTAAGCTTATTTTTAGTTGCTAATGTTAACATTTCGTGCAGAGGACTAAGTTCTGCTGCTAACATATTAACATATCTGTGGTAATAATTCACCATACCTAGAAATTTTTGTAATTTATTTATTGAAAGTGGTTTTTCAAAATTAGTTATTGTCTCAACTCGTTCGAAAGAAGGTCTTATCCCTTCACTTGAAATTTCATAACTAAGAAAATCTAATTTACTTGTTCGAAAATGCATTTACTAGGTTTAATATTCAAGTTATATTTTCCAAGTCTTTGAAAAACAGATTTTAAATGCTCAATATGCTGAACTTCATTATCACTTGCAACAAGAATATCGTCAATATAGACAAATACAAATTCCAAACCAGAAAATACTTCGGCAATAAAACGTTGAAATGTTTGTGCACTGTTTCGTAGACCAAAAGGCATCCGAACGAATTCAAACATTCCAAATGGTGTAGTAATTGCTGTTTTATGTATATCTTCTTCAGCCATCGGTATTTGATGATACGCACGAACAAGATCAATTTTGGAAAAAATTTGTTTATTTTTTAAATCAATAGCTAAATCATGAATGTGAGGTAACGGATAACTATCTGGAATAGTAATGCAATTAAGTCTTCTGTAATCTCCACAAGGTCTCCAATCATTTGGTTCTTTTTTAGGAGGTAAATGTAAAGGAGATGCAATGTGAGAGTGTGAAGGTCTACATATACCTGTTTTAACTAAAAATTCAAATTCTGTTTTTGCTATTTTAAATTTAATTGGATCAAGACGACGTGGTTTAGAGAAAGGTAGCACTCCTTTTGTTTCAATTCTGTGAACCGTTTGGTGTTGCACTGATTTAGTGTAATCTGGTTCACAAGTAATTGAAGGAAAATCATTTAAAAGTTTAGAAAATTTATTTTCAGTAATTGGTATCCTTATTGAAAATATATCGCAAAAACCAGATGATCCAGAAACTTTCAATTTTGTTGTTGAATCAGTAATTTCTCTATTTTACAACGCTTTTATCAACTTGCAATGTTGTGTGTCCAGAAACTTTCAATGTTGTGGATCCAGAATCTTTCAATGTTGTGTGTCCGACACCATAAAAGCTTTGCTTTGAAAAGTTCATATAAAAAAGCATAGTGCATAGGGCGACATCTGTAGTGAATAGGGCGAGGTAGATGACATCTAGATGTCGCCCTATGTACTACGTTTGCTACAGCGGAAATAGACGGCACGCCATTTCATTAAATAAAATTAATTGGTACTCGTTTGTATGTACATACATATGTAAATGCATGTGTGTGCACCTTTCTATTAATATCGTTGAATTATTTTAATATCTATTGCAAAATTTTATTCAGACAGGACTAAAAAGTAGAAAATAAATAATATAAAAAAAACTTTTTAATATACAACGCTTTTATAAATGGACTAAAAAGTAGAAAATAATATTTCTCAGTCCCATAGAATTTGCTTTGATAACTTTTGATTTTGAAATTTTAGCAAAAGTCATTATAAACAATCTATGAAATTGAAAATGAAAAGCGTGGGCGCATGTAATACACTTGAATTGATATGAAAAGTAATATATGTATGTACAGTTGTCCACAAAATAATAGGAGTGCGATATTTTGACCAGTTTTGGCTATTTGTTTTTTGTTTATTTAATGGCTATACAACAAACACCATATAAATTCAGATTTTAAACTTTGTATAAAAATTATAAAAATTGTGCAATTTTTCACCAAAATTTCAAACTTTTTAATCAGAATCTTTAGAAAAAATTCTGGTATGCAGTTTTGTAGCACATTCAATTCTAGTCTGAAGAAGTGCAAGTTTCAAGCGGCTAAAAAATTCCGTTGATTTTTGAGAATTTTTTTGGTTAAAGGTGTTTCAGGTTTTTTCCATACAAAGTATGTCGACAATTTTCTTTTATATGGAGGACACTGCCAGCAAAAAAATTGCCAAAAATCAACGGAGTTTTTTAGCCGCTTGAAACTTGCACTTCTTCAGACTAGAATTGAATGTGCTACAAAACTCCATACCAGAATTTTTTCTAAAGATTCTGATTAAAAAGTTTGAAATTTGGGTGAAAAATTGCAAAATTTTTATAATTTTTATACAAAGTTTAAAATCTGAATTTATATGGTGTTTGTTGTATAGCCAGGTAGGCTTTTATAAAAAAATAATAAACATTAAATAAACAAAAGACAAATAGCTAAAACTAGTCAAAATATCGCACTCCTATTATTTTGTGGACAACTGCGTTGTATATTAAAAAGTTTTTTTTGTATTATTTATTTAATATCAACTAATATACCAAATTTCTCTAAAAAGTTAGCGCCTATGATTGGTGTTGAAATATCCGCTAATATGAAAGGGAATTCTAAATCGCGTCTTAATCCTAGATTAATTTTTAAAAGTTTTGTACCATATGTTTTAATAAAAGAGCCGTTAGCTGCAGTCAAATTAAGATCTGAATTTCTTTTATGTGATTTGACTTTTGAAGAAGGAATGACCGAAACGATTGCACCAGTATCAATTAAAAAATTTAATTTATTGGATTTATCATAAATAAATAGGCGGCGAGATGGTTTAACTTCATTCCCATTATTAGCCACCGTCATAATGGAACGATTTAGTTTAAAACATTTGTATTTGAATGATCACTATTTGCATTAAAATTACAAGGTTGAATACATTTATAAGCGTTATTTTTGAATTTTCTGTGGTACCAACAAATGTTTTGATAAGAATTGTCTCTCGATCTAGAAAGCCTTCTCGATTTAGAATGACTTCTATCTCTATCTCTAGATCTTGATCTAACTTGTAATTCATTAATATCTTCTGTAGTTTTGTTAAGATTTTGATAAATGGCTGTAGTTAAATCAGTTAAATTTCTAATGCATTGTTCAAGAATATTATTATTATTTTCTACACTAGCGACATTAAAAGATTTAGACGATTGAGGTTTATTTATCAAAGCAAACAATTTATCTGCAAGAGAAATAATTTCTTCAGTACTTTTGACTACAAGAAGTTATATGAATTTGTATTTGCTGCGGTAATTTCCTACTCCATAATTAAAATAAAAGTTCTTTACTAACAATTGATTTGGAACCTGCTAAAGATTTCATATGTCTATAAAATTCTGATGGTGAACGATCACCTAGTTCGGTATTTGAAAATAATTGCTCTAATCTCTTCTCTTCGCTAAGAGAAAATCTTTCACATAAAACTTTTTTAATTGTTTCATATTTGTTAATCAAAGGAGGTGGATTGATAACATCAATAATTTTAGAAATTGACTCTTTTTGAAGAACAACTAAAACGTTTTGAAATTTAATATTATCATCATGTACATTGTTAATTTGGAATTGTCCTTCCACAAGGAGAAACCATGCTTCAGGACAATCTTCCCAAAAATGAGATAATTTAATAGTTTTTGATAAATTCGCACTAAAATTATTTTCATTTGGAAAACAATTAGGTTGTATACTTTGAGAAATATTTAAATTTGAAGTGTGTATTGGGTTTTCATGTTGATTTTCTATTGTTGTTGTGTTCTCTTTGTGTGTGCGAGTACATATTGGTGATCTTTGCATTTTGAAATGAACTGGAGAAGTTTACAAAATAAATATATATAATAATAATTTTAAATAACAAATAATATTTATATATATATAAACAAACCAAAAAAAAATATTTAAAGTTTAAATAAATATTAATAAAAATTAATTAAAGTAATATAAAATTATTTATATCAGTTAACGTTAATTCTAAATTTCTTTTAAAAATTTTGGTTTTAAAATTTAATTATATTTAAAAACGTTGATTGATAAATCTCTAATTAATTATAAATTTTGTTCTTTCAATTTAAATATATTTGTTAATATTATTAAAATAAATTAATAAAGTCTATTTGACGACTTTTTTGTATGTATTTGATATTCAAAAATGAATATAATTTAGATATTTATTGAATTAATAAACTAATCCTTATGATTATTCATTTCATATTAAGTGAACGAAAGACTTAAGATACGAACTTGTATTGAAACAGTTTTGTTTAATATCAACAAATTATTAAATTAAGCTAATACAAATGAACGTATTATGATAAAATACGTCACAATTTCAATAAAAAAAAGGAGTAAAAGTTATGTTAGTTCCAAAAATATCAACAATGCAGCTCACCAATCTAAAGATACATAGATCCTGAAAACTAAAGTAAGTTGTTGTGGATTTGTTTCTTGACTATTTGATTATTATATCAGTCGTAAATTATTTTAAAATAACCGCCAACATTATGCTGAATCGACACTATATTGTTTTTGCGGGGTTTTCCTGCTGTTACAGCGATAAATGTACGTCACAGACAAGATATTTGCTGCCGTTAAAGAAACAAAGTTGTTGGATTTACCAGTTTATAGACTCGGTATAATTGAAAATAGAAAATCAGCTTTTTTTAAATCTGCAGTTTGTTTGTCCAACGTTGGTTAATTTGCAGAAATGTTTCGGTCGGACTCTAGGTTCAATTTAATTTTGAAGCCTTTGGTTTTGAAAGCGTTTTCAGTTGTTAATTTTTTTTGGTATTTACTAATTAATTCAGAGATATTTTGTGTCGTTAAATATTTCTCGAAAATCAGTATATGTAGGGTATTTTACTTGTATGTTTTTATACTTGTTTAAATTCTTGATTTTTAATTTATGGTTCTATGAATTTGTTTGTAGTTGAAAAGAAAATTTTTGATCATTAATAAATAAACTTTCAACATATAAAAACTTAAAATTTAAACTAAATATATTTAGTTATTAAAATATCATATAAATGATATATTGGATGGCTGAGAAGGATACCAAAGAAGAAATATTAAAAGCATTTCGCCTTTTCGATGATGATGACACCGGGGCAATTTCGTTTAAGAACTTAAAGCGCGTTGCACGCGAATTAGGCGAAACGCTGACCGATGAGGAGTTGCGGGAAATGATTGATGAAGCTGATCTGGATCATGATGGTGATGTGAATCAGGATGAGTTTTTGCGTATAATGAAAAAGACTAGTTTATATTAATCACGATTTCGTCGAAGACAGGTTGTGGTATGGCACTAAGTGCTATGCGCCTGATTTTGTAGGCGGAAGGCTTCTCGCTACATATTTTTACAATTCTATAAAATATTCAGTTTCTATAATTCTATGAAAGCTATGTTTAGTCTTTAATATTCTATTATATGTACTAGTGTGGATTATAGCCACACAGATTATGCCTTTTTCTTATAACGATATTAGTTTTAACTTATAAATATTATTTCTATAGATAATTTTGTACAACTAAGTTTACTGATACAATAATACCTCCGCTGGACTTGTATATTGAACATACATAACTTATAAATATCTCTCCTAACAGGATCGCCAATATATCATTTATATGATATTTTAATAACTAAATATATTTAGTTTAAATTTTAAGTTTTTATATGTTGAAAGTTTATTTATTAATAATAAAAAATTTTCTTTTCAACTACAAACAAATTCATAGAACCATACATTGAAAATCAAGAATTTAAACAAGTATAAAAACATACAAGTAAAATACCCTACAGTCGAATGACGTTATTTTTTGCAGAGCGGGCGAAGGCCACCAACGCGGAAAGGAGTTTTGCTGATGGCCTAACACGAATTAATTTTTTTTTTTGCGAAAATTTTAATTTTACCACATTTTAAAATGCGCCCCGAGTGTATGTAAAGGGGCGGGGAGGCGAAGGGGTTTACTTAAAGAACGAAAAATGACACTGAAGATGGCACAACGCCGAAACCGGTTTGTCTCCAAACCAAATTTGACAAGGGATGACGGAAAATCGTTCCACATTACATCACACTCCTACCCTGTCGGAAATACCAGCAACAAAAATGAGGTTTACTTAAAGTTAAAACTGTGCTCTTTCTAATGAGTTTAGGTGACACAGCTTTTCCCCCTACGATCCACACCAAAAAATCATTGAACAAATAACCGAACATTTCCCTCGCACAACATTAAATCCTCTGATGTATTGTTTGATTGCTATCAATATGGCCAGGTAGCTCATAATTTTTTACAATTTATGAAACTTCAAAAACTTACTTTTTGTCAAAAAATTTTAAATGAAACTAACTTCTTTTTGTATCATCTTCATGCCGAAAACTAATCAACTCAGAATATATTCGGCTCCTGTATGGATTTTTGCAATCTGACAATCCATATCGTGATTCCAGAAAATTACAAAAGTAACAAAAAATTATAAAATTATTAGTACTAATAGTTGACAACTCGAAAATACAAATAAGTCACAATACTCGCTATTTTAATTTTTTATGTTTCAAAACATAAATAATAGGCATTCAAAGTCTAAAAAATACAAATTAGTACAAAGTCGTTTAATGTCAAATATATAACTTGACATAAAACGTATGTTTCATATAAGTTGAAAACTTAAATCCTAGAGTGCACGCAATCTTTTCATTGAAAGGGGTCAAATTCCAATGCATACTACATATCTTTTCAAACACAATATTTGACTGCAATGTTGTTTTATATATTTATTGGTTTGCCTCCACAGGCAAACAGGGGCGCACATATACACTTATGTATTTAGTCATAAATGGGTGGTGGTGCCACGCCCATTTTACAAAAATCAATAATATTTTGCCTTGTTAAGAGATTGTTGTTAGTGATTCGATTTCAAAAAATTTTAACATATCGCTTTTTTGAGCATAGGTTGATAAATGTACCCAGTTTCGTAAAAATTGATAAACCATTTACCGACATACACATATGTAAATTAGCTTAAATAGTTACAAATTTATCGTAGTTTTAGTATTCCTGTAAATTACCATTATATGGGAGGTGGGCGTGGTTTTTGTCTGATTTCAAAAATTTTCAAAGGGTTTCTTAGCGAGTGGTCGGGATTGGTGAAACTGTCTTATTTTATGTCAAAATTCTACATCGTGTACCAACTCTCAGCAATTTGGATCCAGTATTTACGGAAATATCGTAGTTTTGCATTTTTCGAAAATACCGTTATATGGGAGGTGGGCGTGGTTATTGTCCAATGTCGCCGCTTTTCAATACCAACCTACCTTGGATAAAGGGAAACCTACTTACCACATTTCGTGGACATATCTCATATTTTTCTCGAGTTGTAGTGTACACTTACAGACAGACGGACAAACGGGCGGGCAGACATGCTTAATCGATTTCTCTTTTCATCCTGAGCATTTATGTATACATTTGTCTATATCTACCTCGATTCGTTTTGGCTGTTACAAACAACCGTTATGCGAACAAAGTTATAATACCCTTGTGCACAAGTGCGCTCGGGTATAAAAACCCTGATCACCTTACATGTTCTCCAAATTCTGAAGCAGCCAAAGGAATTATAATGAAGATTTCTTTTGAAAAAGCTTTAGAAAAACCTGACACACCTGGTTTGGCTTGTAAGCGGCGTTTAAACGACGATATTGCCATGATGATCGATTCTTCAAGTGAAGACGAAAGTCAGGAGGCTAAATCCGACATTTTCAGCTCCGTTGCAATTCTCAAAAAGGTATTATTCTTGCACCGCAATAAAAAAAATATTAAAAGACAACTGAGAGTCCTCTCAACTAGTGCAGCGTCAATCGAAAATAATTTAAATACATACAGTATCGGTCATATCTATAGCACGTCATTTCTAGGTGATGTGTGCCACTTATGTTTATTTATTAATTTTTAAGAATTTTCAATTAAATTATAGTTCTTTCTCTAACAAGACTCATGTATGTATATAAACCCAAGTTTAACAATTTGTAGAATACTACAAAAAAGTGCAACAAATTTTCATATAAATTTCAAACTTTTTTTTCGGAAGTGTTAGAATTTTTCTGAATACACAGTTTAATAGCCCAATCAATTTTAGTCTGATAATGTGCAAGTTTCAAGTTGCTAAAGGTCCGTTGATTTTTTAGAATTTTTTTCGCCAAAGGTGTTGCGGTTTTCTTCCATATACAAATAAATTGAGTTTATTCATTATACGGAAGCCAATGCGACAAAAAAAATTCTAAAAAATTAACGGTAATTCGTAGCCACTTGAAATTTGCAGACTTAGATTTATCAGACTAAAATTGCAGGAGCTAAAAAACTGTGTACTCAAAAAAATTATAACACTTCCGAGAAAAAAGTTTGAGATTTGGGTGAAATGTTGTTGCACTTTTTTGAAGTTTTCTACAAATAGTTAAACTTGGGTATATATGGGGTTTGTCTGAGAAAGAACTAAATTTTAATTGAAAATTCTTAAAAATAAATAAATAAACATAAGTGGCACACAATATCACCTTGAAATGGCGTGCTATAGATATGACCGATACTGTATGTATTGTCAAGTTTCGAACACAGAGCGAGCAGTTATTTAGCAGCGCAGATTTGATTTATGACCCTTTAAAAAACAGGTTGCAACCTGAAAAGGCAGCAAAAATACTTTTTACTAAATGTATAATGTTCAATTTTTAAATTCAAATACTAAATAAAATAAATATTAGGGATGTGGCGGATATCCGGTAGTTATCCGGCCGTTTTCCCGTTATCCGACTGTCCGGCCGGATACTGCCGTGTCTACTCATCGTTTGCCTATCCACATCTCTACAAAAACTGGAATCAGCATCAGAACCATTGGCAATTTCCTCAAAGCACTGCCAAATATCCTGGTGAGCTCGCTCTTCAATAGAAGCTATACCCAGTTTTTGGCTCTATCGATGTAAGTAAAAAATGAGTTTTTGAAACGTGGGTCACAAAATATTCCAACAACGGGATAATATGTAGAATATATGCATAAGAGTTATAGGCCCGTCAGAATGGGTACTTGTAAGTCAATAACGGAAAAGTATGCGAAGGAATTGGCGTACGTACCGTAGAGATACGCCACAATGAAGGTGTTGCGTCTGCAAACAAAAACAGCTGTTCCCTATGCCCACGTGCTTGGGGTTTACACAAGTCAATTTTTCAGATACAATAGCAAAACATTCATATTTTTTACTAATATATTGCCACTTCTCTTGATGTCTTCATCACTGTCTCTGGCTTTTCGAAGACAGTTTATTGTTTGGATGCCTACTTTACTCAAACAATTTGTAAATTATGTGCACATTCTCATTGTCTTGTCTTGTGTAAACGCGGAGTTATACAACTGTCAGCAGCGACGGACTTACGTGCGTCAAAAGTTGAGTGTTGGCCAACGTTCGTTGGGTCCGTCGACGCAAGGGTTGCCAATCTGACGCTCTCTATGTAAACACACAGAGTCTACTCAACTGTCAGTTTCATCCTTGAGCGCAACGTATGCAAAGTATCCATTCTGACGGGCCTATAAGACTTTCATCACATTTTTCTACAAAAATGCATCATCCACGCGTTTTTGCTTAGCTGAGTTCATTGTTTTTTATCTTTTGTCTTTGACGTTTCTCCTCTATTTACCAAAAATAATCTATAAATCAGGGTTGTAGACAGGAAAAGTTATATTTTTAACACAGGATTATTTTATAGCTTGGATTTCAGGGGAGAAAATTTGTATTCTTAATTATGTACGTATTGGATAGTTCAGATCGAAAAAGCAGGTAATCGGTCATACATAAGTATGTCGCTAAACAAAAAACATAATCAGCCTTATCATCAATATTCGGTGAAAAATATCATCGGCGAAACGTTTCGTTACACGAAATAGTTCACTTTGTCATGAATGTGGAACCACTTCGGGTATGGCATTTCACGTTGAAATTTCAAAACTGTCAAATCCATTAAATTAGGATTACCAGACCAAAAATGCCGTAAGGGGTACACATAAAACCAAATTGGGGGACTTGGAGTACAACTGAGAAAGAAAACGGGGTATTTATCGGGGGACAAATAAAACTAGATAGATTCAACAAAAAATTTATTTTTTCGCTTATGGAACAGTAAAACCGTTCATAAATAAAAACCCCAATATCATTTGAACAAAACAAAACTGAGAGCATGGCAATTGTATTTTAAATATTTACAATGTTTTTCGAGTTAATTTTTTTGTTATTTTCATATAAATATTTTTCATGCTTTGGCCAAAACCAAACTATAAAAATTAAAGAAATTTCTTATTTTCTGATGGATTTTATCCATACAAAGATGAATTTGAAGTAAATGCGCACGACCACTTACAAAAAAAAAATTTAAAAGAATCAACGCCAGTTTTTATAAATTGCACTTCCTATATGAAAAAACCTAAACTTGCACTAATTTTACTAAAATTT